TTCTTATGTATGTATAATAAATATTAGAACACGACTGAGCTAAAATGAATGAGTTAAAAAGCCTGGCAGTATTTAAGATTACCTGCCTGATGACAATTTTACTTAATCACATTAGAAGGATCTCTGATTACTCTGGGTTAATGCTACTTAGAATCTAGAGGTAAAAAAAGTCCAGAAATTTCAAGGTAACCGATTTTTTAATTGCTAACATCAAACTGGTTCTCAAGATAATATTCCCACCCTTGAGGCAGCCAGTTTGCAATATGTGCTGAGAGGCCCCTCTGCGTAGAGGATTGGTCTTGGTCCTGTGGGGAGGTAGGAGACCATCTCTGCAGATGACAATGGTAGAGCAAGAACAAAGATCTAGAAAGAATCGAAGCAACACCTGTGCAGGTGTGTGTCATGTGAATCACACCTAAATGCCAGAAGATTCCCCCGACAGTACCACCTGACCATATTATCTATGCGACCTGTAAACGAGCAAGGTCACATTTCCATTGCTGAGACCCTAGACTTTGTCCCCTTATCCGCTTCTATTCATCTTCATATTTTTATGCTTATGGTTCATTCTCTGGCTCCACCCAACTGAGTTCAAGCTCCACAAAAGGAGATATTCTTATTTATCCACGGATGCATTCCTAATGCCCTTAGTACCTCGCACATACTAGGCTCTCAATACATATTTGTTGAATAAATAGTTTCTTAATTTCCACAATGGACAAAGACAAGGACATTTGCCCTGGTGAATTTGCTGATTCTTTTAAAGAAAATTTCCAAATCAGTATGGATGTGTATCTGTGACATATTTCCTTCTACTCATAGGCTTAGCTTTCCCAGCCTAAAAGGCATGGGGGTAAATCTATTCCTAAAAAGGTAAAGTAAAAAAGTAAAAAGAGTAAGCTATTTGTTCTGGAGGATAACTTTGCAAATCAGTCGAAAAGTGAAAGAAAGAAAAAATCCATCAGGGACACCAAGTAACCTGACTGTGCTTTGCTTTAATAAACTAATTTTTTACTGGCTTAACTTTCTTTTTTGTTGGAGAGGCCAGGTCAAATGAAATTCGAATTGCTTCTTCTTGGAAAGAACAAACCTAAACAAAGTAAAATCCTCCCTGCCTTCTGAAGCAAACCGTCAGAGCAGATCCTAACCTCAGATCCTGGAGAGGTTATAGAGAAATAGCTGCCTCCCCGGGAGCGCAGGCCACACACCCTTCGTTCACATAACCAGCTGATGAGCAAAGCATCATCTTGGAGAACCGAAGCTGTAAACACACTTTTTATTTTTTTATTTTTAAAAAACGAAACTGAGCTAATGCTAACCAGGAGTTCTTGACATTATTTTCCAACTAAGAGACCTTTGCGGCCCCAGCATTTCACAGTGAAAAACAAGCTCCTGTGTTTCTGAACAGTCCGCATGGGTATTTAGTACAATTGCTATCAGTTGCAGCTCAAGGACTGTGAAAATCCATTGTGGGAACATCTGGGTTTAACCTGGGATTTCTCAGCACTCTGTGTTCTTCCTGCAGCAATTTGCCTTGATGTATAGATTCCTCAAACAATCAAATTTCAAATTGAAGTAAATGGGAAACTGATGGGTGTTCCCTTGCAGGCAAAACCACACACAACTGGTCTGACCCCAGGAAACAGAACTATTTGGAGGAAAAACCTCAGTATTCTGAACTCAGTCCCATTTCTGCATCTTTTGCTTTCTGTTCTTTATTTAATGGTGGTTCTTCTTCTGTTTTTTTTTTTAACCCCCACAATCCTTTTGTCTCACTTTTTCCCATTTCTGTGGTATTACTAGGGCCACAATCAGCAAACGGTGATTCGTGTATCAAAGCTTTGTCCCTCAGTGTTCAGCGGGCCCCAGGGGAGGGAGGGTGCCTCTGCCAAAGTGCCCACAGTCCTCTGCTGTCATCACTCGAGGGCCGAGGCTTCGTGGCTGCGTTAGGCCCTCGGACGCCCTGTGTGTCCCAGCTGGGGCACCCTGGCGCCTGGACATTCGGGCCCCTGGGCATTCAGGCGCCTGGGCGTTTGGGCCCCTGGGCATTGGGGCGCCTGGGCATTGGGGTGCCTGGGCATTGGGGCGCCTGGGCATTGGGGCACCTGGGCGTTCGGGCATCTGGCAGTGGCTGCCGCGCTGTATCTTACTAATCACTGGATTCAAAATCCACCAGCTGCCTGAAAGGAATTAGGGTGCAAAGACTTGGGAACAGGCAATGTCGCTGAGCACGCAAGCTGTGATTTCCGGTTCACCAAATGGCCCGGTGAGCAGCGGGTGGACTCATTTAACGTGAGTTTTAGTTGAGCAGTTTTCCGTTTGTCTTCGCAGTGGCACACTAAGGAGTTCAGTCATTCCCGCTCCCTGCTGCAGCTGGAAATGCAAGGGCAGAGAGACTATAACAAGAACATATCTTTAAAGAAATATTTCTTGTGAATATTTATATACTCGATATATTTATTCATAGGAAGAATACTTAAGGGTTCTGAATATTCAAGGACCTATTAAATAAATTCCTTATAAAATATATTTATAAGAATACATTTTTAAGAAGGATTTATTTATAAGAAATAACGTTCATGAAGAATATATTCTTGAATATTAAGAATATATTCATAGGAATACTTCACATTTAAAAGTATATTTTTCAGTCCTGGGAGAGAAAAAATTAATATTCTTTAAAATATGAAGCAAAATGTAATAATCAAAACTGATACTTCAAAAGAAATGAGTAAATGTGGCAAGTTGGTCATTTGCTGGGTGCTTAAGAAATACTTCTAATTAGGCACCTGGGTAGACACAGGCCTCAGGATTCAAGCCTGGGCCTCACTGCAAAGCCCAAGTACTTTCCCCTACACTCCCCAGCTTCCAACCCTTGCTCAGCAGACGGAGATTCCACAGACAAAGGCGACTTAACCCAGGGATCCCAGGGATGTTTGGATCCAGGGATGTTTGAGAGTCGGCACTCAGCAAGGGAAAGATGTCACAACCCACTGCCCCGAGTTAACGAAGTTGTCGCCTGATCTGTTGTTCCTGGAATCTGTTTAGGACGTGGGTTATACAAGGTCAGCACCTAATCACAGAGAGAAACAGATGTTTGGAACTGATTGAGGACAGATTTTTTTTGGAATGTCTGTTTGTTGTTGAAAGTGAAATTTATTTTTGCAAAAATTATCTGAAATTACAGGCATTCAAAGACCATGGTGTCAAAAAGTCCTAAGCTCCTTGAGGGTTCTTGCCAGTGATCTAATTTCCAGTATCCTAATGTGTACATATGATGTGTTGTACTTTGGGGCAACTAATTCTAATAACCTACAAGTTTGCTTTGCTTTATCCCTGACTCACTCATGTTCCACTGGTGGGAATCAGGCTAAGGGGGGAGTAAAAGGCTGAGGCTGGTACCTAGGGGCAGCCGAGGCCTTCATATCATCTGGGCATTTCCGGATGCTGCCTGATTCTTGAGGGTGGCAGAGCTAAAGATTTCAACTCATAATGTTTCCAGACCCTCTGGAGAGCTTGGGGAGAGGGAAGGGAACTGGTTGGCGTGGCAGCTGGGTATGGGAAAGCTGAGCCAGGGCAATCAAGGCCCCCCAGGGTCTGCCCTGCATGCTCCTGGGCCCCTGTCACAGCCACACTGTACGCCCACTGGGGTCAGGTTTGATGCAAACTTACAGGTTTGTATGTGGGAGATTCCTGGAAGAATGTTCAAGAAATGGATTGCTGTTCCTGTTATTTTCTTGACACCTACTTAATAGCTACCATCAGGTGTCAGGCACCTTACATGCATGTTATGTCGGTTACATTTACATACATGCACACATCTGCAAAATACAATTAAAAAAACCCCTTCGGGTAGGAATTATTTTCTTTTACAGAGAAGTTACACTTGTTTAGGAAGGTACAAAGCTGAGATTTGGATTTGAGTTTGATTGATTTGTTCATTCATGAAACAAATAACTTACCATGTGTCAATTAAGTGCCAGATGCTTGAGTGGTCTTTGTCCTCACAGACCCTCTAGACTAGTGGGGAATCACAGCAAGTAATAGCAGTGAGGAGGGGCAATATGACGGGGAGCAGCGGGGCCACTGGGGGGGAACCTAACAGTCAAGGTGTCAGGACTACTGAAGGGGGCGGGGGAAGTGGGACAGATCGTGCCAGTCAGAGGGACCAGCATCTACAAAGGTGAGAGGGGCCCAAGAAGAAGCTGAGTGTGGAGAAAAGAAAGAAGTTCAAGAGAGTAGAGGCAGGGAGGTGGGAGGTGGGAATGCCTTCAGGGCTCTGGGCCAGCAGCAGCAGCTCTCTGTCTCCATGTTCAGTGATGTGTTGGTAGAAGAATTTATAGCCTAGAAATGGACACGGTTTTGGTTTCCTGGCTTGAGCAGCTACTGTGATGATGGTATTGTCCACTCAGGTGAGGAATACTTGGGCGGGGGGGCCATCTGGGTTGAGGTATTGGGTGACAAAGTGAGGAAGTTCAGCGGGCGGCTGGATGCCTGGATCAAGCTCTTTCTGTCTGATCACACTGTCTTCTTGCAACACACAGTTCGACCCTAATTTGGCTCAGTATTATCTGTTCTGCATTAGATCCTTCTGTTGAAATGACATGTATTAAATATACGAACCTAATGAGCAATTTTGAATTCTGTTTTTTTAAATTAAGCTTCTCAAGTTATTAACAGCTAACTTTACTTCCCTAAGGAAACATACCCCAAGTGCTCAAAAATGGTGACTCTTCTGGCTAAAGCATATAGCGCAACCTTTATTCGTCCAAGGCTGTGATAAAACAGCCTCCAGGTGTGGCACGGGGACAGGTTATAACAACAGATTCATTGAGGCAGAGAGGTGAAGGTTTTATTTTATCCATTTATTATCATTTAAAATATATTAAAATTTGAACATAGAGAAGCAAAAATTTTAATTGTACATGGCAGTCTATAGAACAAAAACAAAACAAAGCTCCACAGAAACAAAAATTTACATCAACCAATAATATATTAAAATTCCATTTGAGTAAGGATCTAAAGAAATGTAATATTTGCAACACCTCTTAAAGAAAATTTTTTTCAGTGACCTACAATTTGAGAAACTCTTCAAGCAGAATCAGTTTTCTTAAACCATCAGATTCTTACTGAAGCCAGTGGGTCTTTCTATCCATTTATTTCCCCTCTCCACCAAAAAGGACCCTGGAGCTCCACTTCGACAGGGGCATTTGTAGCACTTACTAGAGGTGTGTGTCAGTAAGAGGTGCTTGTCTTTAAAACTATGGGGCTGGCTCCATGTGGGTAACCAGTCTCAGATATAGCCCCTTACACAAGACAAATAAGGTCTGATAACAAATCAGAACTGTTCAAACAAATAACGTAGCAAACTTCCTCCATTAGAGATCTTCCCTTTTAGTGATGTGTCCTCATAAAGACATACACAAGGCCCAGATGTACCACAGCCCCTTATCACACAGACAGACTGCAGGGCCTTCTCCTGAGGCCCCTCAGAGTGGCAGCCAGGAGGACTTTGGTGCCGGTGGGCATCTGGCCCACTAGCCAGTAGAGGTGTCAGGACGAGGTCTCCTGCGGTCCGGCACGCAGCCTGTGGGGCACTGCTAGTGCAGGGTCCGCAGGAGGGTCTCGCCAGCTTCTGCTAAATGCCCAGGCTGCTCTCCTGCTACTCCCAGGAGCACAACCAAGAAACAGTTAATGGAACAAAAAGAATTAATGAGTCATGAAAACATGTGCTTATTATTATTTTTCAAAGATTCACACTTTCCTGAGTAAAGTACACAAAAATCTCATGAAATCTGTTTAAAGCACCCGGCCTCTGTCTCTCAGACTCACTGCACCCAGATGGCAAATCCGAGCCAAGCTCAGATGTTCTGGTGAAAACATTAACAATGCATTTATGAATTCTATTTTCCTAATATTTTACCACTTGAGAGTTGTATACTTTCAAAATGGGAAATGGCTTCTTTTATGGAGAGGGAGAATAAAAGTGTATGTGTGGGCTTCTTTGGTCTGTTTGTGGCAACACATCAGAGCTGAGGAAAGGCATTCACAGACCATACACGTGCCCGGGCCTCTGCCTCACTGGCACTGATCGGTCATCAACACCCTCTAAACATATAAGCCACAGCCATTTAAAAGGTCCAGATTAAATATGGATATGACCATGGGGACATTAAAATCAAATCAGTGTGGGCCAACTTTATCGCTGGAAGAACCAGGTCGCAGTGTCGCAGCAGCTCGGGTGGTGCGTTTAGCCCCTGATGTCCGCGCCTGAGAGAGTATCTTCAATGAGGTCCTGGGAATTCCTGAACATGAGGATAGAATTATAGATCTTCAGTGCTGGGCCCAGTTTGATGTTCATCACCTTTACGATGTCCGTCTGTGTCAGAAGCAGGAAGGCTTTGCCATCAATCTGCTGCATGTAAATACATAAACAGAAATCGAAGTGGAAGCCATTAAAGCCTGTCTACCCTCGGTCACTCTTGGGCGCTGAGCTGCACCACGCGGAGCCTGAGCTCTGCCTCCCTGCAGAGCTCGGTGAGGGACGGAGCTCTCACACACCCGAGTCCCCACCACTGCTCAGCTCATTTCCCCTGGGACCCAGGAGCGGAGTTCAATGTAAAAGGTGTTCACTTTGCTAAATATGAATTCAATAGGCGTTAACTGATGCAAAGGCTAAATTTCTTTTGTTATGTTTTAAATATCTTGGCCTGAATTTGTATCAGAGCCTTAAAAATAATCCACTTTCATCCACCAAGTAAATCTCCAGGAATTTTCCCTGAGAGAACCATGTACAATGCTTGCACTCTAGTGTCATTTATAATAGTGACTTATGGAAAACAACCCAGCATCTCAAAAACAGCAGAAGTAAATAAAGTAAGTCTCACCTGGGACTCGGTAATAGGCAGTTATCAAAATTCGTGTCTCAATGAAACACATAATGATTTGGGAAATTTTCATGAATTGTTAAGCACAAGACATGATATGATGATACAGAAAGGTGTTTTAATTTGTAGGATTAAATGTGCATGATCGCATGTATCACATCTATAGTTAAACTACTTAAATCTTTGCACCAAATGTTGAGCGAGGTTATCTTTGGCTGGTGGAATAGTGGTTTGGTTTTTATTTTCTCCTTTTAACTTTCCTGTATTTTAATTTTGTCAATGATAAATGTTATAATAAGTGGAAATACATATAAAATAAATGTTTTATTTATTAGCCTTTAGCATACTGTGGTCTGAGATGTCATAGCTTTCCTGAGATTCTTGTGACGGCAAGTGGCCACTGTGCAGGCTGTTTTTCCACAGCTTCTACAGAGGGAGAGTGTGCTGCATTCCAGAGTCTCCATGAATAGGTATCTTGGAGAGTTCTAGAGCAACGTGCAGGCTCTGGAATCAGATGGATGTGGGCTGGACCATGACTGCACTTTTCTTCCAAGACCTTAGGTCCTTCATTGGTGAGCTGCCCTTAGAGCTGTGAGGACCCAAGGATGGTTGCACAGAGCCTAACACACAGCAAGTCCCTCCATAAACAATAGCTATTGTTATTACCTGCCTTACTGATCTGTAGCTGGTCTAGTCTCTCTTGGGGCCCCTGGAGCTATGGAAACTAATTCTGGGACAAATGCTAAGCAGCTCCATATATTCATACAGAGAGGAAGCAGGAAGAGAAACCCCATAGAAGGATTTTGTGGCTGCTCTGTATTCCCCTGGAGCAGCCGAACAGCAGGATACACAGGATGGTCCCTCTTGTACTCTGGCGCAGGCAGGCCCCTCTCCTCCTGGGGCAGTCACCTGGTGGGATTCCTCTCTGCTCCAGGGTAGCCTACAGTCACCGGGCAGAGGCTTCAGGACACCTGTGAGTATTAATTACTTGCGTGTTCAAATAGTCTATTTATTCCGCAGGCTGTGTGAGCCGAGCACCACAGCAAATATATGGAGCCGGAGACAGGCTACCCTGCTGCGCCCTCTGCTGCTGGGCTCTTTCCTGCCCGGACCCCTTTCTGTTGCCTCCCAAACTGCTCTTATATCTACTTACGTAAATGCAAACAAAGCCCCTCTGGGTCTAGAAGTACAGAACTAGATGTATAATTTTACATTTCTTACCTCCTTCTTGAAGCACTTTGCATGCTCTTCACAGCCCAGCAGAGACTGCACAAACTCAGCCACCTGCAGCGCAAGATAAAAGCCTGACTTAAGACATGCACCTGAAATAATTTCTTGGGTTGTAGAAATTCAACATTGGACTAAAATATACTTCAAATCCCTCAAACACTTGAGGGATAGTTACTTAAATAATAACTATCAAGTCACATTAGCATTAGCTGGCTCAGAAATTAGATGGGCCCCTAATATCTTTTCTGGCCTCTTATTTCCAGGCTGACCTACATGATGACAGTGACAGTCTCCACCTGTGAGGAGCTCTGGCATTCTAGAACTGTATCCCATCTGATCCCCCAGTCCACCCCGTGGTGTAAGAGAGGGCAGGGGGCAGGGGACTGCGCACGGCACTTATCACGATGACTGTCAGAGATGAGGAAGTGTCCACTGGCCTTTCAGCAGACCAAAGGCCCAGGTCCCGTCTCATTATTTTGAGTGTCCAGTTCCTCCCCGCATGCCTGGCCAACAACAGGGACTTAGGGAAGTGGATTCCCATGTAAATAACTGTGAAACTGAATCTCAAAGAGTCTCAGTAACTTCCTCAAGGTCAGGCATGGCTATTAAGTGCCAAAGATGGTTTTGGAACTCAAGTTTTCTGACTCTACCCCAGAGTTCTGGAAAATCAGTTTCTTCGGCTCAATTTCCTAGACTTACCTTTTTCCTCCCTCTCTATCCACACATGCCCTGAATTCCTTTTAATGAGAGATCAGGCAAAGGCCTGGCTATACGCTCAGGAAGCCACTGAGTGCTCCCAAGTGATACTTTTGAGGAGCTGGCTGAACAAATGTGAATGACAACTGGGTCTGGACACCTCCTGGCAAGGCCTGGCACCGCTGTGGCAGGGGGGTGAAAGGCAGCTAAAAGCAATGGCAAATGACTCCAGGGAGGAGCTCCTTCTAGGAGGAGCTATCTTGGCTTTTGTTTTTTCTTTCTTTTTGGCTCTCTGCCTCTGGTGTGGACTGAATTGTGTGCACTTGCGCTTCTCTCCTGTGTCCCATGGGGAAGGCTTATGAGAAGGCCAGGGAGCACAGTGCCTGTATCGACGTGTCCTGCAATCAAGAGCTCTGGGAGCACCTGCTCCCTGCAGATGCTCCAGAAGATGTGAGCAGATGTCAGCCCCTTCCTGCACTTTGCAGAAGAGAACAGCACAGGGTTGGCTTACTTCCAGCTTACAGAGCTGCCCGGGCCAACACCCACGGGCAAACCTGGGGCCCGACACCTGTGTGCACCCTCACTGCTATGCTCAGTCTGTCTAATATGAAGGGCTCAGAACATCTTTTTAGAGGCAATCAGCCTGTTGACATCTGCTTTACTCACCTCTGATGCCACAAGTACATCTTATCATGAGTCATTTACAATCTTCCTAAAGTGTGGGATGATGAGAATTAAAAAAAAATCCTTATAAACCAGTCATTACGCTGCCACACAACGGCATCTTCAAGCCTTAGGGGCATCTGGGAGTTGTCAGCAGGCCTCAATCTGGCCTCCTCTGCTCTTACAATCTCAGCTATTGCACCCAAGAGCCCCAAGTTCTGGCAGTCCACGCACTCAGAAGCCCAGTCTGTTTGCTGAGTTAATATGGTTTTCTGTTTCCTAGGCAGACTGGAAGCATGGAGAGTGTGTTTGGTATTTTCAGGGAGCTGAGAGAAGCCTTGGAAAGTGATGGTCAAGTTGCAGACACATGGTCACTGGGGCAGGGCTTAGTGTTTCTGGGGCTTAGGACACTGAGAGGTGTCCCTCATTCCCTAGGCTGCTCTTCTGGCCAAGTATGTCCCACCCACGGCTTCCTGTGAGCTTCTGCTGGGTGCTGGGAAGGCTGGGCCTATGATTGGGTCAAGCCTGAATTTTCAATGAGTTTAAGGTTTGATTAATGGTGTGAGAACAGCAGGAAAATGGCTAGTCGTGTACATGGTCCAATATGCTAAAATCCAGAAGAGGTGTGAAGGCTATGGGCTTCTGGAAGGGACAGATGGTATCTCAGGTGGGAACCCAGCAAACACACCATAGGGAGGTGGTAGCAGAGACGGGCACTGCTCGTTGAGCAGTATTTCCACAGGGGGCAACTTGAGTGGCGGGGCAGAGAAGACCTTCTTGGCACTAAGCATCACAGGACCAGGGTCACAAGCAGGACACACAGCCTGCGAGTCATCAGAAATAGAATCCAGTTTGGCTACAGCTGCAGAGCAGAAGGGGAGATGCGGGAGAGGCAGGAGAGGAGGGCTGTGGTTGCCACCCTAAGCACACGAAGGCCACGGGCAAAGAGAAGTGTGTGGAGAGATGGCCTCTTTAAATACAGGCTCCAGGAACTTCTGCTCTCAGCACAAGGGCTGCATGTTGTTTTGATGGTTTGCATAGGTCAGTATGTCCTTTTTTGAGCAAACAAATGAAAAATGGATCACATTCCCTCTTCTTAGTATTGTTAGCCAAGAAATCATTGTTCATGGCAAGGAAGGTTGGATTTTTAAATGGGAATAAATAATGTGTTAAACCAAAGAGTAAACAGGCCAGTGCTGCTGAGCAAGGTAGCCCGGAGCCTGGTGTCAGCGCAGCTTCTCACTGTCCTGCCTCCTGCGTCATTTAGTCTGTCTTCCTCAGACTGCGGGGGCAGTGACATCTAGTTTGTTTTACTATGTCTGAAATTCTGTCTCTTTCTGCAGAGATTCTGATTCTATTAAATCTGTTTTTCTTTTTCCAAAGTGAAGGTCAAGTTCCATGGAACTTCCGAGGCAGACTCTTCTGGCCGGCATGTTAAATGTCCAAAGGCCTTGGTTGTTATTCAGCACCATCACTCAGTGCTGTACTCAGTGCTTAGTCCCCTAAGAAGAAATTCTATTGTAAGCTTTAACAGAGAGCCCATTTGGCTGCCAATGTCTAAATGTAAAGTGATGAGCTTTAACACCGCAGTGTAGCATCAGAGTTTCCCTCTCATTCTCTCCTTAAAACTTTCATCTTCGAGTTTGTGGTACTTGCGGGGAACAGTTCAGGTAGATGGGAGCGACCTCCACGAAAGGGGAAACTGCCCCCCGTTTGCGCCCACCCATGATGGCTTGTGGACCTGTCTGCTCTCCCAGGTAGGGGCTGCTCTGCTGGAGCCCGGGGCCGGCGGCCTTGGCCTTGGCTTCGGGAAGCACACCTGGTGGAGGCTGAGTTCCCAAGAGCCCGGCGTCCCTCAGCTAAAGCCCAGCTGTTTGGGAAGGACACTGGGAAGCTCCTCGGAGTGACACGGCAGTTTGGAGCAGACTAAGAGGGATGCGGCTGTGCAGGCTCCTCGAGGAGCCCATCGCTTCGCCCAGCTTCCTTCCCCGGCGGCCTACTTTTCCTGGCGTCCTTCTGGAGCTCAGCAGGCCTTGTTTTCTTCAGTGGGGATGCGGCTCCCCTAAATCTTTCCGAATGGTGGTGTTTTCTGTTTTGCTGAGCCCATAGCTGTGTCCTGACTGTACTGGCTCAAAGTCCACTGGGGACCATGTTTCCAGCCTGGATCTCATTTTTTAGCAGTGGAGCTTGAAGAGCTCAATGGTATAAGCGTACTATGCTTAGTTAGCAATACCCTGAATTTTTCAAAACTCCCTCCTGTGTGAAGATTGCTTTTAAGGTGACTGCCATCTTTTAAAGTTAATGGACATTAAGGGGACACTTACTTGAGGCTGGTGAGATTTATATGTGCTGCTTTGAAAAGCAGTTTTGAAAACAAGAAATACAAGCACCCATATGTGAACCAAACACACCCCAGTCATACTTGTGCTGTCACGTGCATGTGACATGCCGCGCCCGGCCCTCGTGCGCCCACGGACACCCGCGGGAGGGTGCTGCGGGACGCTTACCTCCCCATTCTCTCCCTCCCCCTCACATTCGTCAGACACCTGCTCTGGGCGAGGCACTTCGCTATAAAGACGTACAAAGATATAAAGATGTTTTAGTCCATACTCTTAGACACTTGTACTCTTCTATAGAACATTTCCATCACCCAGAGTAAGAAATACACTTCACGCTGACTATGACTTGTGTGCACACAGCCACCCATTCCTGATAAAGGTTTCGCAAAACAACCGCCTTTCCTACAATTATGTGCTTTCATCTTGCCCTGTCTTTCATTTAGGGCCACTAAACTGACTTCAAAGCCCACCTGTGCTCTGGCAAACACGCTCGAGAAGGAAGAGCGCAGTGACAGAGGAGTTAAAAGCAGCTCCCATGCTCTGGAAAATGTTCTGAGGCCCTGCTGGGCTGGCTCCTCTTCACAGGTGACGCAGAGCAGAACAGGGGCTTCCTCCCGACCACGAAGGCAGACAAAAGGGAATGTTCTGGCCCTGCTTCACCTTCTGGCATAGACAGTCCCACTGAACGGCCTTAACACAGAGACGCACAAGTCCATTTTCAACACGCTCTGTCCCTGTCTGCTGTGCTTCCTCTCCAAAGGGAACAGAGCACAGAAAACACCCCTCCTCCCAATGCTCCCGCCGGCCCTGAACTGCCTTTTCAAATCCTCACTACCCTGCATGCTTTTTTTTTTTCAATCTTCACCCAAGGATATGT